AACATGATTCTTAAAAATGATTTGGGCACCTTAGGATTAACCTTTCCATTTCCCCACTAAATTGCTTACCCATGCTATTTTCTCCTAGTTAACCACTTTTGAGTCATTTCCATTTCTTTGTTTTTACCACATTTATAAACCTGAGCCTTTTTGCTTTATCCCTATTTTCTACCTTTTTCAGGGCAAGTGAGCAATTATCCGATGTATGCTCCAAAAAAAGAGAAAAAAATAGCAACATTTCGAAAAGAAAAAGAAAAAGAAAAAAAGAAGAGTTGTTCGGAAAAAAAATAAAAAATAAAAAAAAGATGTGAAAATGGAAAACAAAACAACAACAAAGAGGAAAAAATGCATTTCAAAAAGAAATTTGTTGTTTCATATATTGTCTTTTTATCTTGGTGTGCTTAATGTTTTGATGGAGTTGAGATTATCATTTGTTAGGTCCTTGCCTTGAATATTTAGCCATATATTTAGCCTTTTTCCCCACCTTTACCTAAGCTCAGTTACAACCAATAAAAGACCCTTTGATTTATGCATCTTGTTCTTATTAATAGTGGAGATTTGATTTACTTGCAGGCCTATGGTAATATCGTGTCGATTCTGACATTGAGCTTTTCTTTACCCCAAACACATTGAGTGATTTGAGTGAATCCCAGTAAGGTGTTGAGTTATGAGCATTGAGATTAATGAATGAATGGATATTACAATTGCAATTGACTTGTTTCAATTGGTGATGTTCAATTGATTGATTCTTAACTTGAATAGTTATTGTGGTCTCTACCTTGCTTTCTTAAATGTGAAACTTGACAAAGAAAGGTAAATAAAATTTTTGACTAGTTTGATTAATCATACTTGAGGACAAGCATGAGATAAGTAAGGGAGAATTTGATGAGTATTCAGAATCGTTAATCTTTGCTCTTTATTTCTTCGGTTTTGAGGAATTATTACTGCTAAATTGGTCGTGTTATGTTTGTTTTCGTGCAGGTTTTTAATTTCCAGAATTAGTGACAAAACGGGCGCATTTTGCATTTTTATTATTATTTGGTCACGGTTGAAGACATGGGCACGACTCTGGGCATAACGCAGTCTAACGTGGCAGTTTCTAGAAGGTCCAATCAACGACGGTTTCTAGAAGACTTCCTCCGCACGCCTTCTGGAAGATTGACAAGCAGAGTTGCATTAGGAGACTAGTTTAAGTTTGAATTTAAATTAAAAAATAATTATCTTTAGGATTATTTTATTTGTTTTCTTTGTTTATCATTTAGGCTTTGAGAGGCTATAAATACCCACTTGGGGTAAGCCTAAACTCATCATTCGGATTACAATCTTCTTTTCTCTCTAGTTTTTATAAAAGTTTTCTCTTTTTACTTTTCAAGTTCTTTTCATTTTTCTTTTATTTTTCAAGCTTTGTTTTCAAAATGCTAAGCATGACTTTTGTCATGCTTAGCTAATTTTTTCATAAGCCTAGAGCTGGCGCGATGACTCAATTCCAACAGGAGAATTGAAATACGCCCTTAATATCTTCGGAATATCTCTCTCAATCTCTACGCTTATTTTTTAAAATCAAAACAGTTTTCAAAATCAAAGATCGACTTTGGTCATGAGGTTGTTGCGATTAAACATGTGGGAGGAAGATTCGGCTTATAGAAAGCAATTCGACTTCCTGGGAACACACTTGGCGAGATAGCTTCGCCAAGAGGGAATTGAGATCGGAATTGATGGTTATCGAAGCAACAATCTGAGTCGGAAGTCATGAACTTAAATGGTAATTGATCTACGACAATTGATGTTGTTAGAATCAAATACCGAAGCAGGAATCAAAGATTGCCTTGGGTATTCGGTATACAAGATAAAGTCACGGGGATAGCCCTTGTAGACAAAGTAACCGACGTGAATTCCGAAGAGAAAATCTTATTCAATGATCATAAGGAAATTGAGTCAAAGCAAAGCTTGAGGTTATTTTTACAGTATTTATTCACAATCTCTACTCTCTTATTTTTATTTAAATTGCTTATCACTTAAATATATTTATACCAAAACCCCCCTTTTATTACTTTCACGCCTGGTTTAAAACAATCAAACATAAATTTATGATTTTCTAAGTCCCTGAAGATTCGACCCTTATTTCTTTAAACTACGCATTTCCTTATTGATTAATTGAGAAAAATGAATTATTTTGACATCCAAAACGATAATTGTTAGCGTCAGAAAGGCGCCCCCTATAGCGCGCCATAGGTTTAATTACATACCTACCCCGACTGTTTACACTCCCTCCCTCCCTATAAATACATCTATCCTCAATCAATTTCATCACACCAAATCCTCTCAACCTCTCTCAAATACTATATTCTCTGTTTAAGGTATATTTTATTATATTTAATATTTTGTATTTAATTTATTTAAGTATTTAAATTATTTAATATTGTATTTAATTAATTTTTTTTGCAAATATAAAATGGAAGGCGGTCTACTTAACTTGGATGGAAATCATATATCTCGACATTTTGCTGATACGGTAACATTTTAACATTTTAATTTAAATTAAATTATTAGTAATAATTTATTTATTTATTTAATGTATGATTATTAGTTTAAAAATTAATTTTTAGAATTATTTATATTTTAGGAGAGAGACCGTATATTAGATTCTTTTATTAGGAACCTTAAGTTAGTGATATCTGGCTGTGTCATGCTATATTTAGTAGATGTTGGATTTGGTCACATAGGTAGATATGAGGGTCACTGTAAGATAGAACAATACCTTATTGCTACCTTAGTGGAGCGGTGGAGGTCGGAGACCCACACATTCCATCTTCCGTGCGGGGAGTGCACGATTACACTTGAGGATGTTTCTTTGCACCTGGGGCTTCCGGTGGATGGAGATGTGATCAGGGATGACGCATGGTTCATGGACTTCTTTGTACCAGACTATCTAGGACGTATCCCGGAAAGTTTTAACGGTGGTTGGATACCGTTAAATTGGTTATATGCTAATTTTCGAGAGTTGAGCGAGGACGCCTCTGATGATGAAGTTAAAATATATGCACGGGTATGCATACTGCAGCTGATAGGAGGGTTGCTGATGTCAGACAAATCGCGCAACCAAGTTCATTGTATGTGGTTGCGACATCTTGGCGACTTTTATCTGGCCGGATCACTCAGTGGGGGCTCGGCAGTTTTGGCTTTCCTGTATAGGGAGATGTGTCGCGCGATTGACTACAGAAAAAATGCTATCGGCGGATGTCTCCTGCTGCTGCAGTCTTTGGCGTGGTATCGATTGCCCTTTTTATGTCCCGTTGTCAAGAACACATTCGTATTTCAACTACTATTGAGGTAATTATAAAACTGATTTTGTATATTAATCATTTTATACAGTGTATAATAATTTTTTTTCCTTGAATAGGTGGTCTACTGATAGGAAAAATCATCAAGAGCTACCTGATGATTTAGAAAAAATGAGGGTGCTAATCGATCAGAAGGCTAGCACACAGGTATGCCTTTTAATGTTTAAAAAACGATTTTAGATTATAGTTGTATAATTAGATTATTATTTTGATAAAAATTATATATGTTTGTTTTAGTTTGAATGGGTGTCATATTCTAATGATGATGTGAGGATGGTGATCCCACCTGAGTTGAGGGGCCCATTAGATGTTTGGATGGCAATGGTCCCTTTGATTTGTTATGTGATCGTTGAGTGACACTCCACTGATTGTGTGGTCCGGTAATTTGGTTGTTTTCAACCAATTCTGGAAGCACCTCGCAATATGGACGAGTTCTATAGCACAGATAGACGTGGTAAGACCGATACAAATTGGCTGGTGAGGCATCACGAGTGGGTCGTGCTGTGGGAGGATCGACATCGGCTCCTTCCCCGTAGAGAGCCCATTTTTAATGACCTCTTGATGGTTGATGACGGTTATTACGAGTGGTTCAACAGTAATGGGAAATCATTTCTACTTTCCGAGGATGCACGAGGGCGGACCTTTCAGCCACGTCGACAGAGACATTCACCGACACAGCACCATCGTCCCCCGACTCGTGGAAGGAGAGCAGGTGCTTCCGGTTCATCCTCAGATGTACCAGCAGGACCTTCACAGCAGCCACCGTCTAGAGTGACTTACCTTCTGCAGCCATATGCGATGTTGTCATAGATGTTCCTTTACCTGATGCCACCACCGCCACCGTCACTTGGTTTTATGACCCCCCCATCGCCACCATCACAGAGTTTTATGACCCCTCCTGGAGGATATTATGGGTATATGTTTTAAGATCCTACTTGGGGTTTATATGCTAGATATTTGGCGGGTGAAGCCTCATCACCTATGGTCGTAGCACATACACCTCCTGTACAGTTTTCACACTTGACGATGTCTGGGTTTTATGAGTTTTCCCAGTTTTCACAGGCCGGTGGGATAATCGGTCATACACCTCCAGGGTCCTTATTCTATGGAGGTGCTTCATCGTCATCAGCTCCTCATCAACAAAATGTAACTGCTCAGGATGACAACGACGACGACGATGATGATGGTGATGATGATGACGGCGATGAGTCACAACCGGTGATACGAAGAAATCCTCCTCGAGACCGACAACCACCGTCTTGCGAAACACATTCACGTCGCAGGCATCAATAGATTTTGTTTTTTTATTATATTTGTATTTAGTAGTTTATTGGATTTTTTATTGTAATTTTTTTATTTATCATTTAATACTTACTTTTTTTCGTTAATGTGGTTGTATTTATTTTAATTTATTTTGTTAAATTTGTTATACAATTTTGTTAATATATTTTGGTTCATTTTGTTTATTACCATTTAATATCAGTTATTGTTATTTGGTTATCATTTACCATTTAATACTTTTTGTAAGTTTGTTGTATTTAAAATTATTTTCAAATACCAAATTGTTATTAGTTTGATAAAATTTAATAATTGTGTTCTCAAACTTTCTTCAGTTTGTCACTTATTATCTCTTTTATTATAATCACATATAACGCCAACGTTCAATCTTGTTTTCTTGTATCGTTGTTTTACTGTTCATCAACGATTATCGAATGACATTAACTTTAAGTCTCATCGATCTGGACCATAGGCTTGCAGTATTTGACAGAATTAACGCACTGTGGGTAAGTCCAAAAAACCCGGTAGAATTGACATCGATCGCATAGAACTCGATCATTATGGTATGCATAGGAGGTTTCGAAGTCCACAATTATCCCAGGATTCAACGTCCGCACCAGCCTAAACCAACATGAAAGTTCGTTGTAAGATACATCCCATTCGCCATGAAGTTTGACAATGGCATTTTGTTTTTCCAACCAAGTTTTTTTTATAGGAGACAGTGTATACATACTGCGATTGTATAACTGAAATCAACAATGCAACAACTACATGAGAGCTTGCTTTTACCATGGGCATGATGGCTTGGCATATCACTTCAGAGTCCAAGTTGAGATGATATTGGTTGACCTCTCCAGCACAACATGTGTGAGGACCGTTGTATACTGTTAGTTCCCATCTGTTGTTTTTCCTCTTCCTCTTCGATACGCGAACCATCCAATTGCATCCGTTTTCGCGTCGGGCATAGTAGCATACATATTTTTCGGTCGTGGAGCGGTCGACTCTAGACTGGACATAATTACGTATATTGTAATTTTTTATAGTCATCATCGCTTCTTCTTTGCTTAAAAACTCCATGCCTAAAGATAACTCACCATTATTTATTGAAGAGTAATATCCATAGTCACCGAGATGAGGTATATCCGCAAATTCTACCCTGTACATTGCACCATAACCAGCTTCATACATGTGTGCAAGAGGGTCAGTTTGTGCCACATTTCCTGGAACTTCATCTATATCATCATCATCGGAGTTGAATTGTGGTGATTCTGGGTGAATGAATAGTCCAGTCTCAACACCATCCGCACCAGGCTCACGAAGCGGTTCTTCTGGTAGAGATGATGGTTCCTCCATGCTCTCCAAATTTAGGTCGAAGAACCTACTACTTGCACGCCTTCCCCTTTAACTGGAAGCATATCGACATTGAGATCGAAAAAGCTCACAGTCGAATGCCTCCCCTGAAGCTTGAAGCCATCGTGTCAAATGGATAGTGCACAGATTGTTGTGTCGATGGCATCTCCATATTAAGGTCAAAGGGATTTGCAGATGAATGTCTTCCCCTTGAACTGCACGCGATGTTTCCATACAGATTGTTAGTCGACCCACCTCGGTACATATTGTAAGGAGTTGCGGATGAATGTTTCCCCATTATGACATTAAAATCATTACACATTACTGTCGTTGGGCTGTCAACTTGTTCAGCCAGCTCATAGTGGGAGCTTAATTATTGACCCCGAGCAGCACGCACTTGAACAAAATTTGCATACATCTCAATATCGGCGTCTGAATAATTACTTTGAGATTCAACCATCACTTCAACATCATTATTGTTCGAAAGTTCGAACGCTGTATAAGTTAATGACAAAAATGATGTTGGAAATCTGTACTGCAACGACGACATTCTTCTACTACTTTCAACATGAACCTTCCTCGAAATCTTCGTTATCAGCTCCTCAAGAGTTACGTTTCACTTGAATGATATTTTAACACGCTCATTTGATACGAAAACAACGCCGGTTTCATCTTCTCGAATTTCACCATCATAATAAACAATAGCTGAAAGCAGTGTCATTCTTTGAGTTTAAAAGTGCGATAATATTATATCTGCAAAAAAAAACAACTGAAACAAACCTGATTAAATAAATAATATATGAACGAAAATATAACATAATAAAATTTTTACACATAAACATATAATATTTTTTCAAATAATCATAATAAACAATAAGTATAATAAAAAAATTATAACAAAATTACCTTATAACGAAATATCGCAGGAGCTTCTGAATCAAATATGAGAACATTGCCGGAATTATTGACTCGTTGACGGAATTGTTGTATTAATTTATAAGTTGAGAGGGGAGATGTGAAGAGTTTACCGGGGGAGAAGTGTATTTATAGCCGAGAAAAATAGCTATAAATATACAAGGCGCGGTACCTGCACCGCGCCTTATATAATTGTATTAGTTAAAGCTAAGGCGCGGCCCTACCCTGCGCTATATATAATTGAATTAAAGGTAAGGCGCGGCCCCTGACCCGTGCTATTGCCCTACGTGGCGTAAGGCGCGCCCCAGGGGCCGCGTTTTACACACGTGTAACCCACATCAACATAAGGTGCGCTCCAGGGGACGCGCCTTACCCTACGTGGCGCTAGATAAGCGTAAAGCGCGCTGCAGGGGGCACGCCTTACTGCAAAGGGTGTTAGATCAGGAAAAATAATTTGAATGGTGCCTGACAGAGAAAAATAAATGGAAAATGTGATATATCGAGAAAAACGCCCAGATAAACCATTGGGATGTCAATTTGATCGGAAATTAATAGATTGTGACTTAATCCATTTGATAAAATCAATTTTTTAAAAAAATGAGTTGGAGTCGATTCGAGTTAAATTTTATATAGAGGTGAAGTCGAATCGGATTCGAGTAGAGGATGAAAAATCTCGGACCCAACACGACTCGACCTGAGGGTAATAGTATAAATTTTACATATATATTTATAAATAATTGCTATAATACTCTCTCTCACTATATTTTTTTTACTTAGATCCTTATTTCATATCAGGTTGAGTCAGGTTAGGTCGAACTATACTTTAAAAATTCGGGTCAAATTGAGTTCAAATAGTTATATATTTTTTGAGTCGAGTAAGATTAAGTGGATATTATATATATTTTTGAGTCTGGTCAGATTGACCAAAAGTTTGACCCAAGCCAACTTGTTGCCATCCCTATAACTCATCTTAAAATCCAGTGGTGATGGAGGATGTAAGTAGGGTTCTCCATCCTATAAAATTTCAATTTCTTTCAATTAGTTATATATTTCATTATTAGTGTTTTTATAAGAGCTGATTTTTACATTTAATATAAAATAATTTTAACTTTTCTATAATACTTTCTATTTAAATAATCTTATATTCATTTGAATGAACACTGTAATATTATTGTTATTAAAAATAATATTAGATTACATCGTTTTGAAGATATTCTATGATGCATACATTAGGAGGAATTAATACGCATTATCTAAATCAATAGGGATTTATACTCGATAATGTACCATACGCACAAGAGCTCAATTTGTATACTTGTTTAAGTTGTTTCAACTTTTTTTACTTATAACTGCTAAAAGAAAATATATAACAGGGACAACTTAATACAATGTATTTTATATGATCTTATATTTTATTTTAGATAGACAATAACATATCAAATATTCTTACACGTGTTAACTATAAGTATCTCAAGAATAATAGCAATGTGTTTTCCCAAAAAAAAAAAACAATAAAACATGAAAGAGAGGGAATGTCTAAGGAGATAACTAAAGCTTCTTCTTTAGTATAACAGAAGGGTGAAAGCCTTGCATTTTGTTTTCGTTTGGATTTGCCAACGGTGACTCGAAACAATGGAAGAAAGTGAGAGAGATGAGTTGAAGAATAAGATTCAAACCGAGCCGAATGCAAATAATATTATCAAGGAAGAATCAGAGGTGGCTGCGGCGGGGACTGTGAGTAGCAGAGCCGCTACTCGCGGCGGATGTGACGATCCAAAGACTTTGTTAAAGGTAGAGCCAATGAAAGGGTTAAGCAAGTTGGGTCTAACGCCATCTTTGACGAAATTGTTTAGAGAAAGCCGACAGTTGAAGAGTTTTCATTACCGCAAATGACAACTTTCTTTTGTTAATAATTTCAAATATTATAAGATAATAAACGTCTATAGAAATATTGACAATACATATTCTATATATGACATTTGCTTAAATCTAAAACTTAACACATTTTTATCATTAAAGCCGTTTGATGGGTTCATAATTAGAGACAGATGTACTAAGCTCCCAAGGTGGCCAAATGCATCCCGTTATTTAGGGGAAAATGTAAAACTTAATTTAACATGTTAAGAAAAAATAGAAAAAATAAAAAAAAATTACATACCCATTATTTTTAAGAAAATAATATTAAAATTTTGGACTATTTTTCTTACATTTGTGGATCCGCTTATGTTCATAACAACTTCATATTTTGTTATGTTATTTTCTTTTAACTACATTCTATATTTTTTTGTTAGTACAAAACAATCGAAAGACTAGATGTTGAAGGCATTAATTTTATGTGATGTTAAATCAGTTATTTTCACCAATCAAACGATCTCTAATCATACCTACAAGCATGTAAGCTTTCGAGTTCGCCTCTTCCCTTATGATCCCTTGTGCAACTATTGTCATCGATGATAATAGATTAAATATTTCGATATTGTCAATTTCTATAATCACTTTACGAAACCTCAATCTCCAAGTATGCTTGAACATTTCATGTATCGCCCAAAACTTTGTTGAAAACACCAAACGATTAAAGGGAGTTTTATTCTTTTTAGAGGTCATGGATTCTAACATTGACTAAAAAAGATTCTAAACATATATTACCTTATAATCATCATAGACTATTTATAAAATTATGTGATTTCTTGTAGTGATTTCTTTCCATTCTAATGAAATGAATCATTGTACGTAATCAACTCGAATTTTATCACAAATAATTTTGATTTTAGATCAATTATTGTTGATGGTATTAGTAGGAAGTGATCCTAAGCGGCTTATTCTTTTTAGATTTTAGATTGGACAAAAAATCATAATCAATGATGGCACGAAGAAAAGAGAGAATTATATTGAAAAACAATCAATGCAGGGTTCAAGATCCTCATTTTAATTCTATTTGTGTGATATATAAGCTTGACACCAAATAATAAGATATTTCAATTTAACTATGGATAGATAGATAAATAGATAGATTAGACCGTAAAATAATATATATAACAAATGATAAAATTATTAATTAAGTAAAAAAAATAATAAAGATCATTTTCGAATAAATCATATAGGTATTTTAAAAATAACTGTAAAGATTTTAAATTTCGACATTCAAAAAGATAATAATGAAAAGACAATTATTAGAGATACCATAATTATAAAAATTCAAAAATCACAAAAAAGAAAAAAAAATTTAAAAGTACAATCCAATTGTTACCATTATCTTGAAATATTTTAAATTTAATTATTGTGGTGGCGAAATTATTTACTATTCATCTTGGAAATAAAAGATGATAAAAACAATCCTTCTGCGGTTGAGAGGACAGGAATAGTCTCGTCCACGTCCCGCGACTTGGCTTATTTGTCTTTTAACATTATTAAAAAAAATCATTTATTTTATATTTTTAATTATCGTTTCACAACTCCCGATGCAAGTACCATTCATAATCCAACACTTGTCCCACACGTGGCGACATCCCATTAGCAAAGCGATACACCACATAAGTGGGTCCCACAACAAATCCTAAAGGGTACGAGTACCCAAGTCGAACTAAAGGGGGTCCCACACGATGACGTCGATCGACGGTGCCGATCTTGGTTCGTCAGATCACTAATGACAATCTCTTGCAAGCCCCACAAGGTTCAACAAAGGACAGAACCGTAAACTCGGACCATTTTATTCGATTATTTGGTTCGTTTTTAATAGTGAAGTATTTTCTTTTTAAATTTTCTCGTTGGAGTTTTGCCTGGAAAAGCCAAACACCTTCGAGGAAATTGAAAATTTTATTTTGATAGGGTAGGAAAAAAAAGGCGAATTTTCTCCGGAAAATAAATGGGAAGAGCGTTTGTATATGTAATTCTTGGAGGAGGTGTAGCAGCTGGCTATGCAGCTCTTGAATTCACGAGAAGAGGGGTCTCTCCTGGCGAACTTTGCATTATTTCTGAAGAACCTGTGAGTTTTTTCATCAAGAATTCAATCTAATTTTGCTAACTTTTTTTCCGTTTTCAAGTTTATCGATTTCACTTTATTTTCTTTTTATCTGTAATGGGTATTTACTGTTTTTTTTTAATCCGTTGCCTCTTTTTATCTATATTCTTCGCTTTCTTTAAGTCTTTCTGGTTTTGTATTGAGCTCTGATTCAAAATTGTTTTGGGGGATACTATAAGAGCTTCTTCTTCTTCATTTTTTCTGATTTGGTTATTTTTATTTGCTTTAAAACACCTATCCTTGCTGTATTTTTTTTTATGGAGAATAGAGTTTTGAATTGAATTAGGAAGCTGTTACTTTTACCAAATGAAGTTTGAATTTTTTACATTAGATTGGTGTATTGGAAGTTGGAACATGTATAGAATTTTGGCAATTAATTGTGTAGTTAAGAGAGGTTTATGCTCCAAATTACTTTTAGTGCATGCCATGGATAATGTCATAATGTGCAGCTTTTACTCTATGTTACTCTGACTTGTGGTTGAGTATTAGATATCATACATGCATGTGTCCAAGATGGGTATGCTCAACTTTTTAAAAGAGCTTTCTCACATATTTGGAGGATTGTACCCCTGTGTGTATGTAGGGGTATATGTATCCGAGCAACATTGTCTATACGACGGAAATGTTTAATCAAGCATATGAACCCCTTTATGTATGTTGGGGTTTATGTTGAATATGGATGTCAAACCTACACGCATTAGGTAAAATGAAGAGTTCGAACAATATGGTCTATCCTACAGAAATGTTTAATGAAGCATCTAAACATTCTGTCGGTTTATTTTGCTAGCTCAACACTTAAAACCACAAGAAAACATGGTGTGGGTGGGGAATCAGTAAATGAGAGGAAACAAGGAAAATGAAAATAAAAAGGACGGTAAATTAAGAAAAAGAGTATCTTTTCATTTTTTATAAGTGTTAGATTAGTTGACAGATGGATTGAAAGTTCACTTTCCTGACCAATCTTTTTTCTAATATATGTTTCACATCCAAAGTTTTCCAATACTTCACGAGTCATAGAGGGTGGTAACACATTTTATAAGGATATTCATCACAAGAGCCAAGACATCAGGGCTCAAATTCAATACCGGATCATGTCCTAGAAGTATTGACCCTCTGTGTACAATATGCAATAAATTTCTTCTTACAGATCTTTCTATTTTCTTTCTTCATTCATGTTTCACTACAAATGCCTAGTCATCTCTCAGATTTGTGGTTATCTGATATTTTTAGCACTTCGTGTTTTATTCCTTGATATTTCAATTTCAGCAACGGATTACAGAATCTTTTTGTTTTCAGGTTGCCCCATATGAGAGGCCTGCTTTAAGCAAAGGCTTTTTACTTCCCGAATGTAAGAAACATTTTCAATTGTATAATCGATCTACGTTCTTTCTTACTTCTGTTTTGGTTGATTTTTTTCCTCCATTCTTTTTCCCAGAAAAGATTGAAGAAACAAGAAAAGTAGTGAAGGGAATGAATATAATACTATATGTTGGTTGAACCGCCCAATTGTTTCGTAATCACTGATAGTTGTACACGATATCTCATTTATACCTTAGAGCTGTTGTGTATCTCTGTCATGTTCATGGAATTCTAGTTGTAATTATATAATGTTTATTAATGATAACAGTAAAATACCTTATGAAACGGCTGATAAACAACTTGTAGCTTTCTGGTATTAGGAGAGATTCGATATATATGTATACACACACATATAGGGTGAAAGGCTGAAGGGTCTTAGTTCGGGTGGGCATTGGTTTCTTGCCCTTCTATTTTCTAGCCCATTTTTGCTGAATCGATTTGACAAGTTGCATCCTAGCAGAAAGACATGTTTTCAGTCTTCATTTATCCTGATATTCTATGGTTTTTGTTGATAAATTTTTCATTAATATGCAGCTCCGGCACGCCTTCCATCATTTCACACCTGTGTTGGTGCTAACGAGGAAAGATTAACTCCAAAATGGTACAAGGAACATGGTAAATATTTTGTCATAACATACTCCTTTGCCTTGCACCGATTTTAGTAAGAAATGCAGTTTTAAATATTTGCCTCCAATGATTGCTAGATGCTTCATTACAAGTTTGTCAGTCACTAACTTTCTGGTCTTACATATAAATTATCATTGAAAGCTATTACTCCAACACATACTTGGACATATCTATGGGAGGTACAGTTCTCCAAATATATAGAAATACGTAGAAAATTCAAGATAGCCATCTCTGGCATTCACCCTGAGTTTGAGTAACATAAATTGAAAGTGCAGATGTATTAGTAGCACAAATTCCTTCTGTTCGTATGTACAGTCAAAGAAAGAAAAGTAAACCCCCTTTTGAATTCTACTAGAACTTTCTCTCTTCTAAAGTAATCGATTTTACTATTTTAGGGGTTGAATTAGTCCTTGGAACTCGAGTTAAGTCTGTTGATGTGAGACGTAAGAAGCTATTGACAGCAACTGGGGAGACTATAAGTTACAAGATCCTTCTCATTGCCACAGGAGCTCGGGTATCGAAATTATCTTTTTAAGCATCTACGATTTTCTCTCCCATTGTATATTCAGTTTGTTACATCTCTTGGAAAAATGAGAAATTCTCATGAAACAAGAAAAAATATGTTTCTATAAAGGATGATATTTGCATTAGATTCAACTGCAGGATTTAATACAATGGCCAAAACCAGAACATATCTTGTTCTTGGCACAACAATATACAACTCTGAGTGGTAGCGTGCTGATATTTTTCTCATGGATACAATTCTCATGTATAATATGTCTGCTTTTCTGGCTTAATTTTGTTTTTGTCTGTTAAATGTAGGCTTTGAAGCTTGAAGAATTTGGACTGAATGGATCGGAAGCTGAAAATGTATGCTATTTACGAGATTTAGCCGATGCAAATGGTCTTGTTAATGCGATGCAATCTTGTGCTGGTGGAAATGCTGTAGTAATTGGTGGTGGGTACATTGGAATGGAGTGTGCGGCATCTTTGGCGATCAATAAAATCAACGTAACCATGGTTTTTCCCGAAGTACATTGTAGTGAGTATCCATAGTGTTGTGTTCTTCATTTATTGATCTCTTTCTCGTTTACAAGCTTCTTGACCGTAAGGAGTACCTTTAAGTAAATGATATTATTTCCGATGTGGCAGTGGCTCGCTTGTTTACACCAAGGATTGCAAGCTATTATGAGGAATATTATCAATCTAAAGGAATTAAGTTCGTTAAAGGAACTGTGTTATCGTCGTTCGAATTTGATTCCAATGGGAAGGTAAATTATTTTAATATGCTGTTTTATAGTCAAGTTTCTTTTGCCGTAGAATATCTTAGTAGCCGGATAATGAATAAAAGATAATGAATAAAAGTTGCATTACATATGGGAGCGGAGCCTGATGTTTATTGCTCTTCAGGTTACCGCTGTTAATCTTAGAGATGGAAATCAACTACCTGCAGACTTGGTCGTGGTGGGAATCGGAATACGCCCAAACACAAGCCTTTTTGAAGGCCAACTAACACTTGAAAAAGGTGGGATCAAGGTGAATGGGAAGTTGCAAACGAGCATGGATTCGGTTTATGCAGTTGGAGATGTTGCAGCATTTCCAGTCAAACTATGCGGTGAAACTCGCAGACTCGAGCACGTGGATTCAGCCCGAAAATCTGCTAAACATGCTGTTGCTGCAATCATGGAACCTGAGAAATCAGGCGAGTTTGACTACCTGCCATTCTTCTACTCCAGAGTCTTTGGATTGTCTTGGCAGTTCTACGGGGACAACGTAGGGGAGGCAGTCCATTTTGGGGATTTCTCGGGTACTACCTTCGGAGCTTACTGGATAAACAAGGGTCATCTTGTTGGGTCTTTCCTTGAAGGGGGAACCAAAGAGGAGTATGAAGCCATAGCCACTGCCACAAAGCTCAAACCGCCGGTTGAGGATCTGACTGAGTTGGAACAGCAGGGACTAAACTTCGCACTCACAGTTAGCAAGAAACCACAGCCGGCACTGCCCATTGAAGTCAGCCATTCTATTTCCGGCCTTATCATCCTGGAAAAGCCCGCCTACGCTTGGCATGCAACCGTCGGAGTTGTTCTGGCAGCATCAATAGCTGGATTTGCGTATTGGTATGGGACGAGACGTAAAAGGTGGTGAGAAATCATCTTGTAACACCATTGTAGTAGTACTGATACAATAAATCTGTTGAAGTACTCTATATGTGCACGATATGAACTCATACGTTGTCGATAGCCCAAAATTATTACTCAATACAACATCATATTTTTTCCTCGAAATGCTTGAATAATCTCCTCATCGACTCCCCATCTATTCATTTAAATCTCAAGTAAAGAACTCTTTATGTTCACATCTATCTAATCTACATCGGTTGTGGGCAGCCCAAGGAGAAAGCCATTATCTTCGGCCTGATCTGTGGACATGGACTTCTGTGAAAGAGATTAAGTTAAGATCATAAAAATTTATATCTATAAAATAAAAATTACTTAATACTGACTAAACCGGGCGTTTGGTCTAGTGGTATGATTTTCGCTTTGGGTGCGAGAGGTCCCGAGTTCGATTCTCGGAACGCCCCCGATATTTTTTTACCCTTTTAAATTTGATGACATCCTTGGTTGCTGACGAAAATGCTTGGCCTGCTGCTCTATCTGACATTCGGCATTGCATTTGAATTCTCTTGCCAATGATCATATAAAGCTTAATTTTAAAATAAGTGTATAAATTATTGTGATTTTCACGAATAGGTGTTTAAATTATTTTTTTAAATAATTTTGGTGTCTAACGTTTGTAACATTATCATTTTAAGTGTTCGGGCCGTAAACGCCCTTAATTTCCTTCGTTAAGTGAAATGTGTCTCATTCTGATAATTTTAAAATTTTTATTTAAAAATTAAAATTATATATTAAAAACAAAAATTTTGAAATAGTCTCAAAACTTTGAAATCCTTCATTTCAACCCTAAACTCACATCGACCGCCTCCCATTGTTGTCGACGAAGCTCCACCCGACCTCACCTCTCTCCGTCGATAATACCCCTATGAAATTACAACCAATCGATGACCAATTGACATTTTGTACCGTGTGAACCCTAGGATGAAAAGCGCGGTCACATGCGATTCCATCAACCAATCAATGACAAATACATATGATGATAGCAGGGACTACGTCGATGGCAATGGCCGTGGCTGGAAAGGGTGACGATGGTGGTGGAAGGTTAGGGTTATGGATTTAGGAATTTTTTTATGAATTTGGTTTTTTTTTTGTAATTTAAGAGAGATTAGATTTTTTAAATGAACATAATAATATTTTTAATTTAAAAAATCAAAATTACCATAATGTGACATATGTCAATTAACGGAAAAAACTAATGGCGTTACGATCCAGACACATAAAGTTTTAACGTTTGTAAATTAGACACCAAGATCATTCAAAAATAGTTTAAGCACCTGAAAACGCTATAATTTAGACACTTATTTTATAATTAACCTTAAAAATAAAGGCAAATCAAACCTAAAACCACTTAATTATGGATTAATTATAAATTGTTAGAATACATTAGGAAATAAGATAAAATTAACTTAAATTTCTTTTTGAATAATTTTATAAAATATTTAATCGATTAACTCACAACATTAATTCAATTTCTTTTTATATTTAATATAAATGCCAAAATTTTATAACTACATAACAACTTAATTCGATAAAATAGTAAACAAAATTACTAAATCAAAATAAAAAACTAAATATTTTACAGAAAAATGAACGCACACAGAAGGGTTCACGTTGGCTTATCAGTTGAAAACAATTTTTCAGTTTTTATTTTTATTGAAAGAAATGATAAAGAAATGACAAGAAACGAGGAATAATACCAAAACATACGTACAGAGAGTGGTTATCTAATTCCCTCGTGAATGGTGCAAAAATGCGTTGGAATAATACCAAATTCACGTTTCCAGTCATCTATTCCGATGAATCAAGATTAGTACAAACTAGGCTTGGATTGGACTATGACCCATCGCTCGAATTTAGAGATGGACATATGATTTTATGATAAAATATGATTTTAAAAAATCTTAGGAGTGCATAAATATATTATCAAAAATGCTTAATTTATATAGAAATTTGAAATTATCAGAGTATAACCGTCCTCGCTAACCCCCAATCCATCCCCTCTTGAATCACTACTCATAAAAGTTAGATTTCTAAATCATTTTACCTAAGTTTGATCGGATCCGTTCGATACTCTAATTTAGCGTCTAATTTTTTTAAAAAGAAAATAGGTTACTATTTATATATTTTTCGACATATAAGATCAAATAATACAGATGCGGAATTAGGGATGGATAGGGTCGGGTTTCGGTCAATCAGATCCGACCCGAAAAATATACACCCTCCACACGATCCGAACTCGACCCGACTTTTTGAGATAAAATACAAATCCGATCCAACCCGAAATAATATATTTATTAAAAAAATATTTTTTGGGTGGGGTTGGATTGTGTTTTTTTTTCACCATAAATCCGAACATAACTTATAAAAAACCCGACCTGAACCTATTTTTTTTATTAAAAAAACCGACCCGATCCGAACATATCAGTTCAGATTTGGTCCCGTGCCCATCCTACACGGAACATGAAAAAATAATTCGAACTCCGATCTTAAATCGGTGCTTATCTCGCAACTCGGGGTTGCTATTGTGCATGTTTTTTTAGTCAATGCACGTCTTATTTTGGTCTGTTTCTAGTGACTGTTAGGTGGTTAGCAACTGTGATGGTTTATCCTATTGAACAACACAAGAGATGACATCTTAGGTTATCTAAGAATACCAATGGGCCTCTATCGTTAGTATAGGATTTAGGGTCTACAGTATTATGACATAGGAAGGAATTAAGGGAGTTAAAGGCTTAGGGTTCATTCACTTATTGTAATAATTTAAAGAGAATCCATTTTTTTTTGCGAGTTTTCACTTTGAGATTGCTATTGATTAGACATTCTGCAATGAATTTAGTTGTTGAGATTGTTTACTTACCTTTGTTTAATGCTATTAATGTTTTATAAAGAATTCTAATGTTTTATATATATTTGATTCATAAAATATAATTACATCATAATTTTGCATGTCATTCATTATTGTATTTATACAATTTTATAAATTTTAAATTTTAAATAATATTGAGTGTAATTATCTATGTAATTACATCAATTCTCAATCACCCCTAGCAAATAAAAAAAAAGTTTAGAACCTCGAATTATACTGAATTCAATAAGTCCTACAAATTAAAATTATTATCGAATCAATCACATTATATAAATACACTTAAATTAAATTGCAAGATAACTTTATAAATAAGTTCTAAAATATATAAATATAAATATTATTTGAACCCATAATATTTACTTATGAATATGATTTTTTTCTTAATATTTTTAATATAAAATTAATATTTTAAAATCTTAAAAAGTATAATAATATAAAATTTATCTATTTTTTCACCGACTTCATTATCATAATTATATACAAACAAAAATCAAAATCAAAACTTGATATTGATATTGATAATCCTCACCTTATAATAAAGAATTTAACTATTTCACATTGGTGTCATTTAGGGGTGTTTATTGTTCGGTTAAAACTGAATTAACTGACCGAATCAAAATTTTGGTCGGTTACTCGATTGGTTAATTTTGGGTTCGGTTGGTTAACAGTTAATGGTTTTTTTCAAATTTTAATTTCGGTTAATTCGGTTCGAAATCGTTTAATTAACCGAAATTATTAAATATTTAGTATATTATATATATATATTGTTTAGCTTTAGGGTTGTTTGAGCTTAGTTATTACCAAATTAACTGACCAAATTAACCAAATAAATCAAAAAATATTTAATATTTAATATTTAATATTTAATATATAATATTTATAAATTTCGGTTAATTTGGTTAATTCAATCTCATTAACGGTTAATGGAGAAAAGAACTCGGTTAATGAAATTTGGGTAATTGAGTTCGATCGGTTAACCGAATTACCCGTTTGAACACCTTTAATATCATTTTGTGCATTTTTTCAATACTTTTGGTTGTTATATTTGTTTTACCTCACAATGTCATTTCGAATATATTTTTTTATTAAACTGTAAATTAGATATTGTCTTGATAAAAAAATCGGTAGAAATATATTAAAATTCGGTACTTAAAAGTTTTTAAACCACTCACTTATAAACTCGGTGGTGGTGGTGGTTGGTATTTTTAGTTATGTTTTCTTGTATTTACTATAATAATACTCTTGACTATTTCTCTAGTAAAATATATCATGCTTATCGGTATTTTTGGATATTCGGTGCAGGTTTTTATTTGGTTTTCTTCTTAGTTTTTTATTTTACCTGAACACATGGTTGTTGCTTTCCCGATGTATGATTCCTTTGTTCGCGTTTTCAATATGGTTCGTTGATTATCGCAGAAAGGTGCCGGATGAGATTGATGTTAAGGGGAGATCGCTTTTTCTATTGGTCATTTTGGTTCTTCTTCAAGTTTCTCTCCTTCATGTTTGATACTCGGAGCCGTTGGTGTGTTCAGTTTTTGATGTCGTTGCTTTACTTGTTAATGATTTTATTTATATCTATCTCTACGTGATCATTGTTATATGTTATTTCGAAAGTCGCGAATGTATTTATTCCGTCTATATTTAACAAGACGTTTGTTAATACGGCTTGGATAAACAAAATTCCATGTTTATGTTTAAAAAAAATTAAGATCATGAATGATAAATAATATAACGTCATGCATGCGCTGTTTCACTTCGTGGATGATTTTCTTTCTAGAAAACCACGTTTATGCAATTTTAAATATTTACCTTCTAGATCTGACAAAAACCTGATTCTTGGTTTGATTTTAATGACTGCTAATCATCATATATTAAATAATATATATTTTCTTAATATTCGAGAAAGCTGGACTTTAATACTTAAAAAAGTTATTTATTTCCCTCTTGGATCTAATTGTTTTACAATGATTGATAAATAAATTCAATTTTCATTTGATAATATTTAAAATGAAATTGATATCCAATCTCATGAAAAAGAAGAGAAAATACTTAAGTTTAAAGGTGTGGATTTTAAAAGGTTTGTGTTTAATGTATTATGTTTGGGATCAATTTGATAAAAGATAATCTTGAAGGTAAAAAATGTAATAAAAATTTAAGGCTAAAATGGTCAAATTGATAAAGTTAAGTGTCAAAGATGTTATTCTACTTTAAAAATAAATAAATAAATTACCTTTGCTTCTTA